CCGTAACTTTTAATCAGCAGTTTCGGGATTAATTATAAACCGTACAAACAATTATCAAGATAAATGTTAATTTTTATATGTAATTTTATATATGACAAGCCAATGCGGTCACTGGTAATTATTAAACTTGTTCTTAACTTAGTATTGTTAAATTAATTATAAGATACATTGCGCAGTATTGATACATTTATAAGTGTATTACATCAGTGTAAATGTGTATTTTATATTTTATTATGTTAGAATGCATTTTGTATGTTTACTTTCAGAAAATTAATAATTTTTACTTAAATAATCTTTTGTTTTCGAATTTTCAATGTGCTCGCGCCACCCTCGTAGGGTTATCATACCCCCTAGTTGGTGCGCCCCACAGTGTGATAAACGCTGATCTAAAGAATTAATGTTCTAATATTTTAAAATTTTAGAGTTGATTGTGTAAATATTATAAGAAATGTGATATTCTTTATGAGACCATTATTTAAGTAACGGGCCATAACTTAAAAAGTATTCATACAATAAAAAATGTTTTAGTACATTCTCTAGAAAATAATATAAATATCAGGTTCAAAAACTTTTATCGAAATACATTCATAATATTTTGAGTTACCAAACTCGCTATGCTAGATTTTGAACCATTTAAATGCCCACTTCCAGTGCATTTAAGACCTTCTTCCAGTTTTTCTAATTTTATAAAATTGATTGCAACTTAGCTTCTAGGTAACGTAGAAACAAAACAAAGTATGTTTTATAAAAACAAAAGACATAGCTCTATTCATTAAAACCAAAAAATAATAAATAAATAAAAAAAAACATGCGTTTTGAGCGAATTTGGTCATTTCAACGTGTTCGGGTATCTTAACTCATAAATTTAACTTATTTGACTAATAAATGTGTTTTGAGTAGCCAGAAATAAACAAAAAAACCCTTAATTTTTAGTTGAAACATTTTTACTATATTGTGTGTGTCATATATTCATGTTAAATATTAATTACAAAGCAACTCTCTTTTTATATCCATTTACAGGAAATTTTTTCTTTGGGGTACAAAGTAACAGTTATTAGTTTTATGTTCTCATTAATGTATCAAATGAAAACAAATTGTTTAATTTACAAACAGGTAATAAAGCCGCACATTCATTCTTTTCGTTTCTACAAAAAACAGTAGACTGTCGTACTTCAAGGTTTCAAAATGTTAACCAATTTCAATTAATAATATTTATTAGTAATATACTATCGATGATGAATCCAATTAAAATAAATTGTATAATTTACAAACAGGTAATAAAACCGCTCATTCTTTTCTTTTCTACAAAAACAGTAGACTGTCGTACTTCGAGGTTTCAAAATGTTAACCAATTTCAATTAGTAATATTTATTAGTGATATATTATCGATAATGTGAATCAAATGAAAACAAATTGTTTAATTTACAAGCAACTAATAAAAGGCGCATAAGAGTAGACTACAATACTTAGCGGTTCAAAAATCCGAACCATACCTTCTATATATATCCGACGTTAATAGATATTAAAAGCACTCTCAAATTATTAAAATAAATCATCTTTGAAATTCTTACAGCGGAAGACTGCCACCAGGTAATCATTAATTAAAAATCTGTATTTCTGAATCTCGAGTAAAATCTACAATGCATTTGCCTATTAAATATTAAATGCAAAATATTCACCCTTATTGAATATTTATTACCCATTAATGAAGTATAACAACTTCATTTACCCCCGTGTTATTGAATAATTCTTCACGTTGTATCTGGAGGGGTTCGTAGGTACAATGTTATCATTTAAAATTCTATCTTAAAGATTTGCTTATCTCTCGAATTTTATGAATAAAATCGTCGTGAAATCGTAATAATTGAAACATAAGCCACTTCCGACAATGTGCTGTATATTTTTCCAAGTCGAATTCAGACGAAGCGAGATATGTTTCGTAATTGTTGTGGTTTTGTCTCGTATTGTGAGACTGGTCAGACAAATTTGTTATTTATCTCTGGTGAATAATAATTCTAATTTATTTTTAATTTGTATTTTATTTATGTAATGTTTTATTAATGTTCTAGAGAGGGGTTTTGATTAAATTATTTTATTTTGCAGAATCATTTTTATTTCTTGCGGTGGATTCTTTTTTTATCATAAGCATTTTACCTTACAATTTTTTTAAAGTTCTATTTTTGTAAATTATTATTTACTAGCTGTTATACCCGTTCTTCGCACGGGTGAATTGAAAAATTTAACTATACAGATTGATGGATAAAGAAGTTTTTAATGAATTAATTTCACATGAATTGCAAATTAAACAAAAAAAAAGTTTTTTGCATATCCAAGCTGAACAAAAAACTCTATTTGTTAAATTTTAAATCTGTAGATCTAATAGCTGATAAAAAGGATTTTTTTTATCTATAACTCTCTCTGTAACACTCTTGAGGGTCGATTTTTGAAAACACCTTCCTAAGCTGATATCTGCTCAGCAAAAGTAACCCATTGTTACAAATTTTGTGCAATGAACGCTTAAAATAGTATAATATTACATTTTGTTGTATTTATTTTATGTTAAAATTGTAATCAGCCTCACACTCCACCTGTTCAAGCTTTTCGCAGTTCCTGGCGCCTGGCGTAGACAAAACAAAATGTGAAGTTTCGCCTCACACATAAGAGATAGATATATGTTGTCGCGGGCTTTTTGATGGCAGAATTTTTTCCTACTTACTTAACAGTTATCGTTATATTTGGACACTTCACACAATATCTTTGTAAATTATAGCCTATGTGTTATTCTAATATATAAGCTATATTATTGTTAAGTTTCATTAAAATCCATTCAGTTGTTTTTGCGTGAAAGAGTACCAAACATCCACACAAACTTTCACGTTAATAAAATTAGTAAGGATAATCTCATGAAAAGGTACTTGGATATTTTTCTGACATAAAGAGACCCATTCAAAATACTTTCCAAAATTATTTTTAAGAATATAACGTGTACTCAAAAATAACACCGGCGGCTAGCTCAAATAATTTTAATTGGTTATACTTTCTAATTGAGCACACAGTTACAAATACATAAAATAAAACCCAGTTAACCTTTATACAAATACTAAGGGGTTGGCGAGGGCAGACATTGGCATGTCCTTGCTTCACCGAGGAGGCAGGCTG